GACTGATTGAAAGCAACATGCTCCGCCCCTTAACCCCCCCACCCCCTCCCCCCCATCATGCACTGTGGGAGTTTGCTGTGGCTCCTGCGCCGCAGGGGCCCGGCGCTGATAAAAACACACACATTTGTACTCCTCTGCTGACAGATATTGCACTTTCCTAACCTAATTGGAGGGGTGGGGGAGAGGGGGGGGGCTGCTAATGCGAGCACATGGCTCTCATGATGCAGACCACTTGCCTGTCTGCCCAACAACACACACACACACTCACACAGCCTCCCACTAACAATTTCTGTCACTGTGTTTGACAAGTGTTGCATGACAAGACTGAAATGAGCTAATGCACTTTGTGGGATTGTGGATTTATACATGACGTGCACACGCACACGTGCATATGCACATTTGTTCAAATAAAATTAGAAAACACAAAGAAACACATGTTCACCTGTTGTATAAAAAACTTAATAAAAAGAAGACAGCCTTTCAATTTGAGTGACAGAAACATGATAGTAACATATAATACAGCCCATTATACCAGGTTTTTACTTGTTTTGACACCAACAAGCTTAAAATTGTAGAGGTTTATGTTGTGAAGACAATGATGACAAAAATAATGATGAGCAGAAATAAATATATCTGTCAGTTTATAGAATCTCTGATCAAAGCTCTGATCAACATGGATTAAAAGTTATTTTAAACAATTAAAGGTGGCCAAAGAAACACAGAGATTTATTTTGGGGGCTTTGTTCTTTGGGTTCTGCTGCAGGGAAAGTGTTGAGAATCTGATCCACAAGCACTCGTACGCCCGGTCCCCCATCAGAACCTACGCTGGAGACGAGGAGAACCTGAGCGAGGACGGGCACACGGCACACAGCAGAGGTAAGAGCCGGCTGTGAGAAAGAACCAAGTGAGAAAAATCAGACGGACGGAGATGAATTCAGTCTGATAAAAATGTTGCACGTTAAAGAAATCAGTGGGGAAATGGAAAYGTTTGAATTAAGACTTTACTGTCAAACAGTTGTGTAACATTTATTTATGTTGTTAGCTTTGGTGACAATTATAATACTGCATAGCGGTATGTACAGCGGGTAAAATAAGTATTGAACACGTCACCATTTTTCTCAGTAAATATATTACTAGAGGTGCTAATGACATGAAATTTTCACCA